GGTTTAGTGGACATGGTGGTGTTGGGTCAATGGTTGGACTCGATGACTTAGAGGTCTTTTCCAACCTTAATGATTCTATGATTCTATGATTCTAATTTAGTACAGCTATTCCCCTTACCTCCAGTCGATATTATAACAGAGGCTTAATCAGAACTGTGCTAGCTCAAAATGTCTGCAATTCAACCAACCCTCCTCTCAGGCAAGCTTCTCTAAAGTTTACAAATCTTCCAAACTAAATTAAATTTCAAATGGACCTGGACAATTTATGACTCCATAGAAAAATAATGGAAGACTGACAAAATTATCAACTTTGTCATCATTTTGCAATAAATCCAGATGGATGCCTGCATGTCCAGCTGATTATTAGATTCAGATGTGGGATTAAGTTGCATGTAAAATTCAAATAAAATTTGAGGATTTGCACCTGTATTAAAATTAAAGAAAATGCATATTTGGAATTCCTGGGCTTAGGAAACTTTATTATATACTTAAAACGAAGTTCTTCACCAGGTTTCCTTTGCATTCTTTCCAGAAAAATGGATGTTTCAAGTATAGTAGGATTTGGAGCCAACAAAATAAATATTCTGATGCACAGTGTGAACCTGAAGGCAGACATGACATGGTGTTTATATATAGTCTATCCTATGACATAATGCCACAATTATAATACAAAGTGTAATAATTACAGTAATTATAACAATAATTACAATCTAGTCAGCAAGGCGCTATCATAAATTACAACTAAGCTGCCCTGTGAGGTGGGGGACATGCTTTAATATGGGCTTAGGTAAAATGGAACAGTCTGCCTGTGTTCAAATCATGTAGGTGCAACTTCATAACAAATAATGAACAACTGCACAGCAGAGTACTTCAGACATATAGCAACAAATTAGCATTTACATGGACATTAAATGATTGTTCAGCACAAACCTGCAGGGTTATTTGATTATATATGAAGATCGAAATAGGATCAAATGCTCATTCCCTTCCTCAGGCAGCCACAGTATTTTTTACTGTAACTTTGCCATCCTTTGTCATCCTGTATTAATTTACATGCAAATTATGTGATGTCCAAGGTCTTTTTAAAGACTAAGAAATGCAAGAGAACCAGATTTTGTTGATCTTAATATAAGAATGCCCAATGTCAGTGATCTCCTCTTTGCTATATATGCAATTTCCACTATTACTCACCCAGCGCAATTCTGAATTACTGGCTTGATGGGATATTCTTCTGGATGCAGCATTTCGCTATGAACTGCAAACAAGCCTCCAATAACAATGTCCCCCGGAGAACTGGCGCCCACGAAGTCATCAGTATTCTGGCAAGAGAAAGCGATATCAGTGCCGATCACAAAGCAGGGGATCAAAAAGCTAGCAAATGCCATGTTTCTGTTTCACTCGCTCACTACCAGCTTTAGGTCAATTAAGCGAGCTGCAGGGCCAACAAGGGCTGCTATGTCATCTATAAACAGCAGCAAAGGAAAAGGGCTGCACTCAGAAGTTAGTCACACCTCATAAGGTGCTTGTGTTTGCTTCACTGGCTGAGGCTATTTTATTGAAGGTACTAAAGCAACGCTGTCACATAAAATGTGAGGGTGCAGGGGTATGACGGTGAAGAGGGAGGGAGAAAGATAAATGCGTTTAAAAGGAAATGTTGGACATAAAATCTGTTCTGCTGTGTTCAGAGTTTATCATACCTTATCTGAAATACATGACAAATATTTTGGTATAAATTCGGGCTTGTCTTGAATACCTTCCAACTGAGTGCAGGGTGCGAAGAAGCAATCGTAATACAGTAGTGATATTGCTGCGACCATATTTTAAGGATCTGGACCAAGGAGTACTGAAAAGACTCCCTTGCCACAGTGTGCTTTAGGTCAGACTCTGGCTCCCCCCCCCCCCCCCCCCCCAAACTATCAAAAGACTGCTTTTCTCTCAACCCTTTTCTTATAACTTTTCAAATCTTTTTTATAAAAATGGTTTGGATAAGCTAATATTCATGGTTCTGACGCACACACAGCTCCTAGTGACGTCAGTGGGCTTTGGATCAGGTTCTGTATTTACAAGCCAGGCCATGTCTGCTGCTGGTTAATCTGATAAACACAGAACAGTGGGAAAACATAATACTAGTCCTAGTTTTTTGACAGGAGGGAAGCACGCACTCTTCCCCCTCTGACGGAGGACACCAGCACACGAGCAGCAGCTCCTGTGCTGCGGGAGGACCGGGAAGTAGCTGTTCTCAGTGCCACCGTTCCCCTCAGATTCGCAGGAATTGGGTGTTGTGCCAGAAGGGAACCGGGAGAAAAGAGAAGCAGAGGCCAGACTCTCAGCTTTCGTAAACTCCAACCATAAACAGCAAAGTGAACCTCTGTAGGACAGAAACATGACTGATGCTACTGAACAATACCGATTTACGTAAGAGACACAGATTTGACAATAAACCCCTTCTGTTCTTGACATTGGCTTATTTCTCTATTTTCCTGTAATGGCTTCTTCAGATTTTGCTTCTTTTGATGGTATGCCAAAACACTCTCAGAAGAATGGGGTCAGTCATAGTGTTTATTGTCTATGACTGTACTATTAAAAAAGCTGGGTTTTACACAGAAAATTTGCATCAAGGATTGTTTTCTGGCAAGCAAAAAAGAGAAATGGGATGTCTGTTACATGTTCTTTCTGATAAGCATAATGCATACCATATAAATTATTTGCATTATTATACTTTTTTCCCTCACTAGTCTCTTCATAGTTAGAGGATCCATTTACAACAGAGATATTTCTTACAAATGCAAATGCAACAGACATAATACTTGCAAATGCAAATGTTAAACCCCGGTTAAGTCACTATTCAGCCTCTTCTTTGTTATAATATAACAGCTTGTGTTTCTTTCATCTGCCTTCTTTCTTTCCATGTGGTTTTCTCACTGCTGGGTCAGGGCATATAGTAAACAGCTGCCTGCATTTTCTTTAATGTATCTGATCACATGCATTTATGGGCAAATGATGACATCGGTTTATTCTGCTTCTGCACTGACTTGCAAAAATTCCAGTTATTCCAAAGGTTTTCCTCTTGACTTACAGCAACACAAGGGTAGTCAGACTCTAGGCCTGAGTTATGAGACATCACTTGCAAATATTCATGCACCCATTCCTTTCCATCCAGGTAATGCACCTTAAAGCCTGGCTCCATGGACTCTGGTGTTTCCTTTTCCTTGACTTTGCATATAACTTTGCATATAAACCTCCTTCCAAATGATATTTTATGTTGTTAAAACATAAGATTGGAGCTAGTCATTTCCTTAAGCAAGCCACAAGAATATTCAGCCATATGCTTCTAGTATAAAATGTAACGTTTAAGGACCTATCACTAAGTATCGCATTAGAGATTCAATGGAAATACAGTACTGATAATTTGAAACTGTAAATTTGTTATAAGTTATGATTAGAAGCAGAAAAGAAACTCTACTCTGGCCAGTCTCTAAAAAGTTATTAATTTCTATAGAAGAGGATTTTACCTACAAACAAAAATCCTTACTTGGTCACTTTGGAAAGTGGAAGTTGACAAAATAAACATCACACGTAATTGGTGCATAATTTCATGTTATTTATAAAAACACCACGAAATGAGGTGTGCTTCAAATTCAACTACATTGCGTTTACATCACAGTGTAGAGTATTTTCACAGGGAAGGGTTTTTATTGTTATTGTTTGTTTTTGAGGCCTATATCTCATAATTACTGCTAGTGATGAGAAGTACTTGGAAGCGTTACTGAGATAGCTCAGCCTAATCTAGTACTGCATAATTAACTGGAAGTGTTTGCAAATACCCTTTTTCATTGACACTTAAGTACCAATAGAAATAACTGTGTAGTACAAAATGTTCTTTGCTTAAAATTTAGTGACGTATTATTGTAACATCGCTAGACTTTCACAGTTGTCTGCATAGGAGTATTTCCTGGCAGGTAGAATCAAGCATAAGATCCAGGGGAAGTCCTGAAGTACCATCATCTCTAGAAAGCAGCCTTTAATGGACTGTGCAAAGGCAGAAAGCAGGACCTACCAAACCTGGAGCTACTCTGAGAGCCACAGATGAATTGTAAGAGGCTTTGGAGGACCTGGTGGGAGACAGAGATACTCTGGTAGTATCTCTGTATACCCCTAAGTTACATGCTGCTGTGCCAAAATGGCTACTTCTTCTGCCTGGGCTTCAGCTTCCCCTGGAGAAGGACCGGAATAGGTAGGGTTTGGAAGATGGCCCTGTCACGCTCAGCACTAATCCTGCAGGTGATTTCTTGTAAATTTGCAGTTAATAAATGTTTGGCAACAGTGCCGCACCTATTGAAAGGCTCCACAATCCAAAATGTGTGAAAGAAGCCAAGGGAACTTTGGATATTCTCCCTGTTATTCAAAAGAGTGGGATAACCCCTCCTCTTTCAGGATAGGACCTACCCTGGCAAAAAGGAGATAGCCCTGTTTGGAGAACCCAGCAGTGTTCAAATAAAATCCCGTCATTTGTAGGGAAGCTGACGCTTGTGTAAGTTAAGAATGACCATTCCTTCTTGAATTGTTCCTGGGGAAGACACGAGCCACAAAGAGAGGAAGATGAGCCATAATTTTAAAGCCCTGAACTGAGTGGTTTGTTCCCAGTTCTAGCACTGACTTCTTGTGCCTGATCTGCACAGACTTCTGCCGTGACTTCCCAACCCTCGTCAGTTGTTCACAGTCAGGTTTCTGAAAGGCTCCTTCTCTCTCTCAAATGAAGTAGTGCCAAAATGCCTTGAAACTCTAGACATAACCTTCTTCTGATTCATATAATATCTGCAAAATAGAGAATAATATTGCCTTTCCATCCAGACCATAAACTCTTTAGAATAACTACTGTCCTTCACTCATGGTGAGCCCCCAGATTGTATAGGGTATTTTGGTACAAGTAACAAAAAACATAACAACAACAAGGCAGAAGAAAACATGGTAAACTAAGCCAAGTCCCAGTATAAATCACTGCTGCAATAGAGGAACATGCCTTATTCATGTTTTACTGTAAAGAAGCTGTGTGTTTTCCCATCAGCCTTCACGTTTTGCCTCGTATGAGGCGTCTATTTTAAAAAGTATTATTTTTCACATAACAGCCTGGTAGTACTGCAAAATGCTGTGGTTGCAGAAGCCTTAACCCACCGGGGAGCTGTTCAGCAGAAATGCCCGTCTGCTGCCATCTCCCTTCTATTCAAGAGCAGATAGGGTATCCCATTGCTTTGGCCAGCAAGCCACCTCCCGGTTTGCCTTTGTTTTGGGGCAGTAACCAGCATGCTTGAAAGGCTCCCAGGTAGCCCAGCTGCTCTCTCATGGTCTTCCTGAAGTCCATGGGAGCTGCTGTGCCTCACAACCAAGGCTGAAAGGCCAGCTGAAGGCTAATCTACTGAAAAGAAAACCAGAGTCAAAGTGTGAAGCTCAGTATATATTGACTATGAGCAGAGTTTGGGAACACCTGAAATACCAGAAATACCAAGGAAACACGTGTGGAACTGCTCTCTAAGATCACCACTAAAAAATGCTGTGCAATTGGAAGCAACCATTGTTTCCAGCAGGGAAGCCATTACAAATGAGTACACTAACATCTTCCGGGCCAGTAAGAAGGAATTGTCCCATGTGAAATCATTTTATTTTCCATGCAATCAGTTTATGGAGCCATTTCCTTTCAGTAAGATAGATTGCATCTATACTAATAAAGACAGTAGATAGTGCTGAGGTCAAAACCTCAAGAAGAGTAAATACTGGTTAGGAATGCCAGCTTTCTAGACCAATAGAACCATTGTATTTAACCCAATGATTTTGGATTACTCAGTTTCTTTTAAGGAAGTTTAAACAATGGAGTAAAAAAAAGAAGCAGGTTTTGCGTTACCTAGTTTTAATTATCTTTTTAAAAATTCTTCTATTTACTGGGACCCTACCTAGCTTGATATTAAATACTAAAATTAAAGAATGGGAAGGAGAATATCCATTATTTTGTTTTGTGGTCTGTTATAAAAAAAAACAACTTAAAAATTAAAAACACATCAACAGTGAAATGGAATTTGGATGAAAGCCAAGTGGTCACATTAATTCCTCAGAAACAAACTAACTCAATTTTCAAGTTCATTGGGTTTGTCCTCTAGAGCCTGTCAGCTGAGCTGCATGATGGGGAGGACGAGTACTGTTTTTCTCTGTGAAGTCACGATATTATAAAGTCTCCTGATGTGCTCTGAAAGTTGAATTTTCCCCTGATGCAGATGGCCTTGTTGAAGTACTTCTGGTAGAAAACTGAGATGCTGGAACGTCTGCCTAGAGGAGGGCTGTGACAGTGCCTTCAGCCTCCTGCCCGGACTGCCAGGGCAGTCCTGGGCAGCCTCAC